TATTTATGTGTATTTGACATTTCCCCCGTTCCTCATGAAAAATATGAAATTAATGAAATGGACAATTACATCTTTATTGTATTCTCCATTCATACTTGTATTTTTAGGTTGTCATTTTACATAACATCACCTATTATCCTGTACAGTTTGGTTAGTCAAAGGTTTAATCAGTGTTTTTCTCTAGAATATACCTTCTAGCATTTTCAGGTGTTCATGCAGGACAACATTGATAATAGATAAAAATGACAAAAAAATAGTAGAATGGTCACCCAGAGGATGTAGATGAACACTTATGAAGGGAGTGGTGATGATTACAAAAAAAGTTCAAACCTCAGTCCCTTAATTGACTTGAAAATGCCAAGAATATAGAAAGCCATGGGAGAGAGAAACCTCTTTCCTGTGCGATCACTCTTGGCACTATTTCCTGCTTCCTTCTAAATGTTAAACATAGATCCCAGAATGCATTACCAGTAAAACATTAAGCAGTTGGTCCACAATTTCATCAAGAGTGCTCTGTAATTATATGAAAATCAACAGTCTGTTTCAATTTATCAAAAGACTTTCTCTAGTCCTAAAAATCATGGAATTGCTCTTATTACAACCTGTGCTAATGTTCTATTACTTTTTTTTTTCCTTCCTCCCTTTGAACTTAACATTTGGGAATAACTACCTTGGTGACAGTAATTGCAGCTACAAGCCATATTTTTTTTCTGAAAAAAATCTCCACCAATCTGCACTTGCAAAAGAAGAATGAAAAATGAGAACCCCTCTGATCTCTTGTGCATTTTTGTCGATGTTACTTTCTTTGTGTTGTCATATATTCTAAATACGTGCTTAAATCTCAAAATTGTTTTGCATTGGAAATCCAGTGTCCTAAACTACAAGCCAATGCATAATTAAGAAAGAGCAAAGAATAAAAGATATGGACCAAGAGCATCTATTTTTGTGAAATTAACAAAATTTGCACAACAGCAAAAATGTTACTATTACATTTACTGCTATTATATTTACAGACTACTATTATATTTACAGAAGCAGATACATCCTTCTCTTAAAAAATAGGAAACTCTTTCTGACAATTCTTAATGATATGATGCTTATCCTGTATGCAGGACACACTCTTGTAATCGTCCAAAACTTAAGATTTCATTTGATGTTTCTGTCAACAAGACATTTGGCTATTCTACAAAATCAAATCACAAGTTCCTTAAATAAATGTTCCTATAAACAGGTTTTTTTCACAGATGACAGTAATTTGCTGCAGTTAAAAAATACATAGATGTACAGGAAGAAATTGTTGATCTGTATCTCAAGATAACACCGTAAGCATATTGAAAAGTCAACATATATTTTCTAATTTTTTTTTGGTCCCTAACTCTGGACCCTAGGTGTAGTGTATTTAGTACAGATATATTAATTTCCTTCTCCTTTTCTTTGGAAATTGGAAGAGGGGAGAGAACAAAAGTCCTCTAGTGATCAAATTTTTTTCCATGATGTAAATTTGAATTGAAGCCATCTTTACAAGCAAATGGCTTTATTAAGCTAACCAGAAAATACTTCAGATGCAATAATGATGATTTTTTTTTTAAATAACTTTATATATCTGCTCCAGAAATTGTTTTCTTTTTGTTTATATTGAGTACTCAGAGAATCATAGAATAAACTGAGTTGGAAGGGATCCGTCACGATCGGTCAAGTCCGACTCCTGGCTCTGTGGAGAACCGCCTCGAGAGTCACACAATGTCCTGAGAGCCTTGTCCAACACTCCTTGAACTCAGACAGGCTTGGTGCTGTGACCACTTCCCTGGGAAGCCTGTTCCAGTGCCCAACCCACCCTCTGGGTGTACAACCTTTTACTGGGATCCAAATTAAACCTCCCCCAACTCAGCTTCAGTGACAGGATTTGAGGAAATGGCCTGATCTTGTGATGAGATCAATGTCTGCCCTTCTGCGTCTCCTCATGAGGATGGTGAAGACCACAATGAGGTCTCCCCTCACCAAGTGTTCTCAGTCACTTCAGACCCTTCACCAATCTTGTGGCCCTCCTTTGGATGCTCTTTAATAGCTTGATTCTTTTTTTCTTTTTAATTGGGGCACCCAAAACTGCCCCCAGCACTCAAGGTGAGGCCGCCCCTCAGAGCAGGGAGGGACAATCCCCTCTCTTTCCCAGCTGGCGATGCTGTGCCTGATGTACTCCAGGACATGGGTGATCCCCCTGGCAGCCAGGGCACTGCTGACTCATGTTCAGCTTGCCATCAACCAGGACCCACAGGTCCCTTTCTACACTGCTGCTCTCAAGCCTCTCCTTCCTTAATCTACACACACAATGAAGGCTGCCTTGTCTCAGATTGTAGGCACATGGTGCTATAGCCCATGGAATATCTAGGGTAAAGCAATACTTTATTATGTTTGATACAATGCTTAATTTAAGCCATTAATTTCTTCATATTTTGAATTCTGTTCATACATATTTAATATATGTATAAATTTTTTTGTGGCCAGTTGAAAAGACATTATTTGATTGCATGACCAAAGAGGAATTAATCAGCATGCATTATTTTCAACAATTTCACTTTCCTGCTTCATGCCTGACTTTTTACCAACAAAATAATATTGAGTTTCATTACTTATTTTCATGTTGCTCTAAGCCTGTACTTTGAATATCTGCAACAGCAATAGCCAATGTTTTGTCTACTGTGGGCTGTACAGGCTTTCAAGGATTCATCAAAGGTGGCAAAGCTTTGGTTGAATTCTCCTTCCATGTTACCCCATGATCTGCTAGGACTTCCTAGGATCAGCTACTGGATGTCTGATGGCACTGGATGGCACAGGTTTTATTCCTGTGCCTTTTATATAATAGACTGGCTCCCAGCCTTGTGACAGGATAAACACGCTGTGCCATGCATATTCCCATCACGTGGCAGACATGCATCTGCAACACTGGCATTGTGCTGGTGCAGCAAATTGCTTCCCATTACTCAAGGGCCATGTGCTGCAGCACCCTCAGGAAACAGTTTGGCAGGAGTGAGGGTGCTCAAACCCTTGTACTCTCACCTCTCAAGAGGTGTAAGCAGTGAGTAGCCAAATTAATGTTTGTTAAGCTGGGATTTTTGTCTGTGACCCACTGATTGAGACCCTGAGTGGCATCCTGCAAGGAGAGCAGAAGTGATGAGGAGTGAAATTCTGTGTTAGCATTAAATTTGAAGGCAAAGCTCTTGGGAACTGCTTGATGCATGGCTTGGGTCAGGGATAGCCCTTCCTATGGTGGCAAGGAGTGAGATGAAGATCTCCATGGGCACATTTCTGAGACAATAGCTTGGTTGGTGGAACCTCCCAGGACAAAGTCATCTGCAAGGACACTGTGGTTAGCAAGGCTTCAGTGAAAACATTTTTTTAACTTCATAACGGCTTGTCAAATAAAATTAATTTTAAATTGGTATTAGAATAATAGAATCACTGAGTGGCCTGATTTGTAAGGGACCTTAAAGATCATGTAGCTCCAGGTCCTCTGCCATGTACAGGTACATCTTTCATTACACCAGGTTGCTCAGAGCTACATCCAGCCTGCCCTTGAACAGTTCCAGGGATCAGACATCCACAGCTTCTCTGAGTGACCTATTCCCATGCCTTATCCCCTTCAGTTCCCCTTGTAGTTCTGCATATGATTGTATGTACAGAAATGAGTTCTGTAAATTTTTCCTGTCCTGAGGTGTTTCTGCTGTATTTGGCACCAGATAAGGGAGTAGATGCAACCTTACATGCCATTTTATACCTTCATAGTTGTTTGTGAGAGGTGGAGCAGTTTTGATTCAGGCGGGATCATTCTAAATTACCTGTTTTACTCATGTAATGTTCAAAATCATTGAACTGAAAGAGTTTATTTTTCGTTAGTAGCGGAGTTGGATAAGAAATTGTAAATTTCAGTTCATATAGTTTTGTGTTTCTGCATTGAGATGTGTTTTACACTCTTACAACCTGGTAGGTTTTGAGTAGAGCAACAGTTTTGTAGGAAACTTTAGAGTCTCCAGCCAGTTGATGCATTTTGTACAAAGTGTACCTCTATATTTCATGTCTCATACTGCCATCTAAGGGCCATCTAGGCTGAGAAGGTGGCTAAAGGTTCTTCAATACTCTTCCTTCTCCATTCTGCCCTTCCCTTTGGGAAGTCAGCAAGTCATCAATGAGAAAGGTGGGCAGGGGATAAACACCAGTCTTTTGTTGCAGTATGTTTCATCTAAGAGAAACAAGAGTCTTCCTGATAAGTGATAAACTGGAATGTAAATCTCAGTCATTTAGAAAATTGTAATTGCAAAGAGTTTGTGTAAAGGCCAGAGAATAAGAAAGCAAGATCACAGGATTTAAGTCTACTCCTGAAACAGAAAGGGAGTGTGAGGTTTAGTTACTTCAAGGTACCAAAGTCCTCGTTTCCTACTGATTTAAGGATTAATGTTTTATAATAGAATTTGCTTATTAAGATTTTCCCTAGAAACATACTAAATAACAAGAATTAGTTTCTTGGTTTGGTGTTTTGTTTGGTTGGGGTTTTTTTAACTGGTTTTGCATTTCTGGCTGTGTTTAGATTTTCTGGGACTAAGGGAAAATGGGAAAAACTGGGTGTTACTTTAGGAGTATATGATATTAAATAACATGCATATTATTTAAATATTTTGGGGTTTAAGCATTCAAAATGTTATCGCAAAAACTTATCTTTCCAGGATAAAAATGCATGGTTTATAATCTTCAAACTGCGTTTGTATAGGCTTAATTCTATAGCTCTTTTCTTACACCAATATTTGTAACTACAAGGGTGATAAAGAAGTGGTGGAGGAAGCAAAACATTTTATTATTTGTCAGTATAGTAATGTTGGCAATGACTGACAGATGCAGTTTTTATAATGAGGATCCCTTTATTTTACAACGTATGAGTTGTTTTTCAGGCTAGTTTCCAGCAAACCTTGTGTACTAGAGAAAGTAATTAATCTTGCACGTTACTTTGACAGGCTCATGGAAGCAAAGACCTGGAAGAGCAGTTGCGGTCTGTGTCCAGTGTGGATGAACTCATGACAGTACTTTACCCAGAATACTGGAAAATGTTCAAATGTCAATTGAGGAGAGGAGGTTGGCAGCACAACAGGGAACACTCCAGCTTTGACACGAGATCAGATGATTCCATTAAATTTGCCGCAGCACACTATAATGCAGAGATCCTGAAAAGTAAGTACAGGACACAATCTGTGTTCCAACGCACCATAAATGAAAATTTGAAGGTTTTTCAGTTGTGTCAAAAGTATTTTAAAAGCTAAGCATTGTCAGTAAACCAACCTCAGCAGTTTGAGAGGATGTGTTGTCTATAATATAAAATCTTTGATAGTCAGCCTTTCATAATGAAACAAATCACTCTACAGACAGATTTTAGGTATGTCCATTGTAAGAAAGTGCTTTCTCAGCTCAGTAGAGAAAGGAAAGTGCTTGTCTTAAAGTATAAGGAATCGTGCTTTGTAGAGGCTGAAACAATTTTGTAGAAAGCAAAGAGGATGCTAATAGTTGGATTCATTGAACTATTTCTTCTCATTTTCTGAAATTGCATCACGGCTGGTAATGCTTTCTTCTCTTATGCATTATGGCTGTGGAGCGCCAAACAATCCACCTGTAACATTTTCATGTCACAGAGGATAGTTGTAATGATGTTGTGCTAAAACAAGTAAAACAGTTTTCAAACCAATGTGTTTGAATACCTTTCAGTGTTTCAGATAGCTTGGATGAAAATATATTAACTTGCAGTTTAAGCAAGTGCTTGTAGGCAGAGAAATGCAGGATTTATAGTAGGTGTATTTTTTGACATAATATTGGAAATCATATACCTTAATGGAGAGTTTAAAATACACATAAGGCAAAATTTCCATTTTTGTTGAATAGCTTATCAAAATCTAGTGCCAAAAAGGAATAAAGGGGCACGTACAGCTGCAAGTCTCAGGGCTGTTTAGTGTAAGATTATATTTAGAAAAATTCTGTATAACATCAGTCTTTGTCCAAATTTGTGTGGATAATTGGGCACAAAAATCATCCGTCAGATTAAATCACATGCTGCACATAATTGCTAAAGAGTAAGCTTTTGCTTTAAATTATACCCTTCTAGTTAACAAACTAAACATGTATTTAAATTAATTTAAATTATATACGTTAAATGTATAAAATTTAATATTCTAATATATTATATCCAAATGAAGTGCTGTGTGGGGCTGGTTAAAATTATTTTGCAGAAGTGTGTAGTACTAAAGTTCAGACTTTACTGAAGATGAGGCTTGACCCAGGTGAAGAAAGGACATGTAGAGCTTTAGCTGCTGGCCAGCAGTTTGAGGGAGGTGACTGGGTCCCTCCCTTTGCCCTAATGAGACCCCATCTGCAGTACTGTGTCCACAGTGTCCAGCTCAGGGGCCCCCAACACCAGAAGGATGTGGAATTGTTGGAGCAGGTCCAGAAGAGAGCTGTGAGGATGTTCTGAGGGCCAGAGCACTTCTCCTGTGAAGATGGGCTGAGGGAGCTGGGCCTGCTCAGCCTGGAGAAGAGTCCCAGGAGTTCTTATAGCAGCCTTCCAGAACCTAAAGAAAGTCTGTAAGAAAGATGAGGAGAGATGTTTTAGCAGGTCCTGTTGTTTTAGGACAAGGGTAATAATTTTAAACTAAAGAAAGTAGATTTATACTTGATAAAGGGGAGAAACTTTATGGTAAGGCTGGTGATTTACTGCGACAGGTTGCCCAGTGAGGTGGTAGATGCTGCATCCCTTGAAGCATTCAAGATCATTCAGGTTTGGATGGGGCACTGAGTAACCTGATCTGCTTGAAGATGTCCTTGCTCATTACAAGGGGGTTGGACTAGGTGAACTCTAAAGGTCCTTCCCAACACAAGCCAGGCTATGATTCTGTGGTTTAAGGTCTCCCCTGCCTGGTAGGTTCCCTTTAAGCTCCACTGTGACTTTTCATCTGCTCCATGATGATATATCATGCCCCTGTGAAGAAGAAAAATCAGCGAGAAGGTAACATAGAGAGATTGTGTTTCACTGACTAAAGGGTGTGACTCTAGTAACTCATATTCTGGTTTTGAAGTTTAAAAAGGAATCCTAATTTACTGCAGGATAGTTTTGACTTTAAACAGTTACTTTATAACATATGAAATTCCCTGTAACTTGGCAGGTATTGATACTGAATGGAGAAAAACTCAGTGCATGCCACGTGAAGTGTGTGTGGATGTGGGAAAAGAGTTTGGAGCAACTACAAACACCTTCTTTAAACCCCCATGTGTATCCATCTACAGATGTGGAGGTTGCTGCAATAGTGAAGGACTTCAGTGTATGAATATCAGCACAAATTACATCAGCAAGACAGTAAGTTCTCACTCTTTTATTACCGTTCATGTACTCCTTGCAAATGCATTTATGGCCATGCATATTTTAAGCCTTCTCATTTCTACTATGACAAAGGAAATAGTTGATTCCAAAATATACAGGAAAAACAGCTGAAGACACTACTGCCTGGAAAAAATGTGTTTAATGTTCTTTTCCCCAAAATATTTTTATTTTTCAGGGGACAAAATAAATTATCATGTCCCATTCTTCCATTCTTAATTTTGAGATTATCCATGAAACTTAATTCTCTCTCTCTGTCTTTTTTTTTCTTTTTTTTTTTTTCCTTCTGCCTTATAGCTGTAATGGGGCATGCACTCAGTGGAGAACTAGCCTGTAATTTTATTAGCATAGACTGCTACAAGACATGTGCAGACAGGATACATTTTTCAAATAAAGCCTTTTAGGAAGGGTGTTATATCATATTAAGGCGTATTAGTATTATACACCTATTTGTTTTGTTGTAATGCATCTTCTTACAGGTGTATGTGCAGGTTGTGTTCTTAAGTTCAGGGTTAGTGATCAGGTAGGAATGTGCAGAAATCATGCACTGAGACTGTGAGCTGACTTTAAAGCAACACATACTACATTATTCTAAGTAGATACAGGAATTATCACAATTATCTTTCAATATTTCCCTCAAAAATCATGTAAAAATAGTCATACTTAAAACCATTTCCTAGGGTATTTTCCTGTTATTATAGTAGTTGGTAGGGTTTTTGTTGGTTGTGGGCTTTTTCACTTTTTAGTGTAAATCTTGCTTTCTTTTTCAAGAGGATTCATGTAGTTGAAGATGCAGTATGTATTTATAATGAAGACCAAAAACTGTATAGCCAGTTATAAAACTGAAGCCCTTAGAAATGTCACTCCCTTACCATAAAACCTCTTAGTGGTGTGGTATGGTATGCTCTGAGATTTTCAGGGTGAATTAAGAAAAGGGAATGTAAAGAAAACAGCAAAAACCCGCTAATTTTGTAGAGTGCATTTTCTGCCATTATTCTCACCAAATCTGTCTGTCTGAAATGCTACATCCATCAAGGAATTTTCAGTCCTAAATTTAGCTTGCTGGGAGACAGCCATGCAGCACAGGAGTAATGTAATTCAAATAGCTTAGATGAGGACAACTACTACTTTGACTTTGTTCAAGCCTTACTGTTTTTCTCATTATTAGGAGAAACCACTGTCTCAATTCCACTTGCTTGAAAGGTGCAAATATATTTTTCATTTTAAAACCCAAGAAATGGGACTATTTTTTTTTTTCCACATATCTGTAAAGTTTAGTTTGCCAAAACAAATAATTCTCATCACAGAGAGAGCCATTCTACGTAACACAGATTTCCTAGTTTTTGAGCACTATGTCAGTTTGGGCTAAATCATGTCTTTCTCTTCATCTTACTGTTCACATCTATCAAGTGAAGTAACTTTTTACCCAGTAGAACAAGTTTAGCAATGAGTTTCCTTTTGAAATTCTTGATGTTATTGGTGATGATATGACAGGAGTAGTTAAAGATTTGAGAGACTCTGAAAAGGAAAATCTTAAAGGTCTTATTAGAAAGAATAGGCAATAAGAATGTTTTGTTTTCTTATTCTGTAAAAGGAAGCAATTGTATCTATGAGTTTTTTGTCTTGCATCCGATTTCCAGTTTTATCTGGTCTTTGACAGAATGCAGTTTTAAAAAGCCCTTATTAAAGGAACAGACCTATATCTATATCTGTCACCATCTCAGGTTTTTTAAAATTATGTGACCACAGTTTACTCCATATCACATGAGAGTTAGGAAGGAAAAAATATTGGATTCAAGGCCTTCTGTGGAATTAAGGTACCCTACACATCTATTTTCACCACAGTTTCTCTTACTTCCTGAAAAATGATAACAAAGAGTTTTCTCATAATTCAACAATTTTTGGCTTTATTTTTTGTGCATAAACTCTGTAAGATAACTTCATACAGTTCACCCTACAGAAAAAGTGCTTAATCGGAAATTGATTTTTCAGCTGGAGTTCTTACTGTGAGGGCAAGCTCTAACATTGGTTCCAGACATTAAAATATAAAGCAAGATTATATCAGCTTTCATCAAAATTAATTAAAAATAAAAAACTAAGCACAGAAATTATTTTTATAGAGGGCAGATAATTGATTTCCAGGAGAATGGACCAGGTCAGATGTTCCCAGATTGCCTTGTGGAACACAGTGGTAGTCCAGAGCAGGGTCAATTGTTTTCTAGTTCAGGCCACGTTCCTCCTTTCTATCTACTTTATTGGGAGAAAAGTACAAAAGTATTCTGCTTTGTTTTTAATACAGTTTTTCCCCAAACCTTTTTTTGTAGTTGCTAAGGGGTGTTTATACAACCAGAATTGAGATATGAGACAACTTCTTAAGATACAGTACAAGATCTATGACAGTATTTGAAGACTCTCTAGGCTAATTCGCGAACTGCGGTAGATCCTCTCCTGACTGCAGTAGCCCAGTTTATAAGCGGTGGCTTTTCTAGTAAGGATATGTGGGAAATGTGACTGGTTGGGTTTTCATTTTGTGGTGTGGTTGTTTGGGTTTTTTCTCTAATTTGTTATCAAACAGCTGCTCTCTGTTTCCAGGGCACAAATAATTCAACAGTGCTAACAAAGATTGTGGAGCTACGTGGTGCAGCCACAGCCTGTCCCTCAGCAGCACTTTTTTATGCCCTACCCATAGGTACTTGCTAATAGGTTGAAGGGAAGCAGAGGGCAGATGTCAAAGAGCTGTTTCATCCCATTCTCCTTCTTGGCTGTCAGGAGGGACAATTTTTTGGGCTTCTTTATGATCACTTCGTGTAAAGGTCCTAAATCATCTTGTTTCACGGTTACAGTTATAGTCCCTCAAGGGAAAGCATCTATCCATATCCAAGCAGATCAAAATTAGATTTAGAGGAGATTTTCTCACAGGAAACAAGTTAATAGCTTGAAATTTTTTGCCCATTTTGGGATCTATGTGGTGATTTTTTTCACAATTCAGAGATACACCACAAGAATATTCCATTGTTTTCGACATTACCATTTCTACTTTTTCCTGTGCACTTTTCTGTTAATTGCAGTGATATAGTACAATTGCAGTGATATAGTACATACTTTTAATAGTGGGAGATATATAAGTTCCAAATGTTTTTCGTTAATATTTCTGGGAAAAGAAAGGGATTAAAATAGAAAAAGTTAGAATAAGGAACCCAAGCATATTAAATAAATATGGATTTCTTGTATTAAGTACCTATTGTTTCATCCCACATAAACCTTGAAATAGTTTTACAAGAAAGTTCAACAGTAAAATAATGATAACGTGTTGTTTCTCAAATAGTTTATTTTTATTCTTTTCAATACAGAGATGTTTAGTTTTGAAATCAGTCTTATGTCCTTAGTTTAAAAAACTCTTTAGACACATTGTACTGTGTTACACTGGTTATATTTGGCTGGCCTTACTGACACTTCGGAAAGTACAAAAATCACAAGTGATGGGAACTTAGACTCAATCAATTTAAGAGAAACTTGCCAAAATAAACCACAAACCATAAGAAGAATACGGGGTAATTAATGTAAATTTTGGGGAAAAAAACCATACATAAATCCTGTATTTGAAAAGTGTCTAGAATGGTGGCCTTCCCACATAATAATAGTTTTGATATATTTCAGAAGGCAGTAAGCATAATAATAATTTTATGTGCACTGATACAATGGTTATTGGCACATACGATGGCAGCGCTGAATAAATTAATTTAGCCACTGAAGCAAAGAAATACTTTGTATAAAAAGCCTCAGTTTTTCTGGTAAGTATGCTATGAAATCTAGTGTAAAGAAGAAGCCTTCAAAGCCATGGATCAAAATTTTGGGGCTTTTAGTAACCTGGTCTAATGAAAGGTGTCTCTACCCATGGCAGAAGGGCTCTAATTCATTGATCTCTAAGGTCCTTTCCAAACCATTCTGTGATTCTAAGGATCAGTGAGAAGGAATACATGGAAAATTGGCTTTTTCAGGAGTTCTGATAACACTTTTTGTCAACACATTCAGAGATTTCCATCTTCTGTTAGATTTTTTACATCTACTACATTGGTGGAAAAAAGATAAAGGACAGCATGGACAAGTTGAGTCTATTTTTTTCTTAGATTTGCCTCTGACTGGAGAAATACCCCTAAATTGCTGTTTTATTTATTATAACTACTAACATTTTTCAGAGCAATAGAAACTCTCCACTTTTTGAAGACTTCTCTAATCCCTACTGCTATCAGATCTTGCGTTCCTCTGGGGACTGAAGCTCATTCGTTGTAGTCTTTGGTACTGAATATCTGTCTTTAGGCATTGGTACCTAAAGGAAATAGCTTTTCCCTTTAGAGTGAGTTAATCTGGTTTTTATTATAATTTAAAGTTGGAAAGGAAGAGAAGATTTGGGCTTCTAAGAATGCAGTAAATCCAGTCTTTTAGAGAATGAGGGATCAAACAGAAATATAAGCTATTTGGTCTCCAAGAAGAATTACCATTTGGGCCATGTGGGTGCCAGCAATAGTAGCCACAGCAAACAACGGTGCCAGAAAAAGAATTGAAAACCAGCCTCATACATAGATGTTAGGAGGCATTTTTAATAGAAATATCCTTTCTAGGTATTGATATTTGACTGTTAAATGTTGCCAGACATGTCCTGTAGTGACAGCAGATGTTGAGCTTATTGTTCTGGTGGATGAGGAAGGTGAGCAAAAATTAAATTGTACATGTTATCAAAAGCATAAAGTATTGCTTATGGTCAGGTTTTACATAGCCTGAAATGTTTTACTTAGATGAAGATTCAAATATAACTTATGCATGTTGAGAGTTTATTCACTTAAATAGTTTCACTGAATAAACAGTAGCAACTCTTGGGTGATACAAAATACATTACTATTAAGAGAATTTATTTGAACAAGCTGGAGGTAATTTGAGGAGGTCAAGGAAGGCTAGTCTACCTTTATATTGTTTAACTAGACCTTTTTCTCACTGCACCACTGAAGTGTTGATGGGAATAGTTGTTAGCAATGCTCATCTCCAAACTGATACCATTTACAGCTTTAATGGAAGGATAAATGTAAATTAAGATTAATTCACGTTCACCATCATTTCCATTACCATGATTGATGCATCTCAGCTGTTTGTGTGAAATTTCTATCAGCTATCTCCTGAAGCTGAATAGGACAGTTGGGCAGGGACCTACCTCTGTTAGGTGCTTTGGAAATGTAGCAGCTGTCCTATGCTGCCATCCCCAGTGCTCTGGAGTCTGCTATGCTTTGCACCATGACAAATTGATCTACTGCAAGAATACAGGAAGAACATGCACTTGCTTTCCAGCTGCAGTTAGGTCCTTTCAGACTGATGCGTATTTCATTTTCTAAGATTTAGCAGTTCTCTCTTTAACAGGTTTTTATTTCAGCTTCAGAAAAGCAAGTTCATAACTGTCATGAGAGAGCAGAAAAAACAAGGTTCTCCTTAGGTGTGCATTATTGTAATTAAGTTCATGCTCTTTTTTTCTGTCCATCAATTCATACATATCTTCTACGAGTCAGCTTTCTAAGCAGGTAAACACATCCCATAATGCTGTATTTTATATTTTGAAGCATTTAAAATTACCAGTTCTGATTACATTTACATGCTGCCTATATGACATACTCTAAGTTTACAGATTTTTAAAGAGCATTGCAAACACATCTCACCTAAAAATTAGTATTTTTATACGATCTTACTGTCTGGAACAGGAATAAGAATGAATGACCATTTTTAAGGGTATTAAAGTCCCCACAGGATGCAGAAATATTCTTAAATGTATTTGGAAGAGTGACTGAACGCCTAAAAGACAACAGTGGACTGTTGCCTTTCTTAAACACTATCAAAAAACAGCCTTTAAGACTTTGACCTAGTGTTTTTGTTGTAACTTTTCAGGAGATTATTGAGACTTGAGTTTTACAGCAAAACCTACTCAATTTGGTAAAGTAGATGTCCTGAACTGAAAACTGAAATTAGTCTGCTTTCCTGTTATCACTTTTCAATTTTACTACAAGGTACCACTGAAGTTGTCCTCTTTCACAAGTTGAACTATAATTCCCTCTAAAATTAAGGTTTTGTTAATTCACATACAGATTATTTTATCAATAGTGTGTATTTCTTAATACTTTGGGAAAAAAAAAATAATAGTTCAAGATATATTCCATCAGGATAGGCATATAACTTGCACAGTTACAAATAATAAAAATTTGAAAAATGCAGTGTGCTGTAGTTCAAATGTTATTCATCCAGAGCTGGTTTGATCAAAGTCCACCATACCGCTGTTTCACGTAAGTTTTTGTAATTGTGCAACTGATGTATTAGGTGGTAACTTAATGTCTTATATTATTCTTCAGCTTTTCAAAGCACCTTCCAAATGTTTCATTTTGTATTTTTTTAAAATGCCGCCAATTTGAAGTCAACACCTCTAGAAAAACGAGTTCTTTGAACATTTTCCTCTTGTATATTAAATGTTGTAGTAAGCAAACTGGCATGTAACAGGGTTTAACACTAAAAATGTTAGTTGTCGTACCATAGCTGTTGTATTCATTTTGCACACAGTAATTATTTAGCAGTATAATTGAATGCTGGAAGACAACAAAAAGATCTGAACTTTAATTTGTGATAGGTTTTTTGTATGTCCTTCCATTAGTTTTAGCTGGGTCTGTATAAGGAGTGTTTTGCTTTGCCTTTTGTAGCTGTTTGAGATCACAGTGCCTCTGTCTCACGGCCCCAAGCCCGTCACTGTCAGTTTTGCCAATCACACGTCCTGCCGGTGCATGTCCAAGCTGGATGTTTACAGACAAGTCCACTCCATCATCAGACGTTCCTTGCCAACAGCACAAACTCAGTGAGTATGAGGCTTCTCTTTCCTTCCACATTAGGAGCAAGACTATGTAATTCAGATTTAAAACACTGCCATGGAGTTGTCACAGCTAAGATAGGCAAGCTACGCATAGCAGTAGCAGAATGCATTCTGCAAGGGAGCTGCAATTACTTTGCACAAAGAGAATTTTACTAAATTAACATCACCTTTTTTACCCAGTAGATAAACTGGAGCAAGATGATTTAAAACTGGAGCATAGTGTGTGTGGGATTTGCTTGATGAAAGAGCTACAATCCAATTGAGACTTAAAGAAAATACCAGAAAAATCAATTTCTTTTTTAAAAAAAGCTAAAAATATCTTTGTAAATAATTAGGAGACAACATTTCTCTTTCAGTCTGTATTTTCATATTTTAAATCCTTTTTTTAAAGGCTTGTTTTTTAGGGAATCTTTAACTTACAAATGTTTTTTGACGTCTTCATATGGCAGAGGTGCATGTAAAATAGAATGGAAGGGGAAAATAAAGGGTTAATTGGCATTCCACAGAAGTAGCATATGAATTTTTTTTTGTGTGTGATTTGGAATGAAAAATGTCACAAAACAGTCTGGCATGAGAAATATTTTAAGATTTTGAGTTGGGTTTTTTTTTAAGTTATTTAAACACTTGAAGATCTCCTTCCTTTATTTAGAGGTCTGAGTGATGATTTTATGATGTATAAATATTTAGGAGGTCAAAAATACATAATAGACTAACAGTTGCTTTGAGGAAGAATCAATAACTAGAAGCCAAACTGGATTGAATTAACATTTTTAATAAGGTGAATGAGTAGAACAAATTTCTCAGAGGTGTTAAGCATTTTCCTCAGTGGTTTCATTCAGTTTAAGTCTGGATGTTTTCTGATACAGTCCTAAACATAGATTACATTCTATTTTGGTTTAATTTATTTAATTTTTTCATGAAAATATGAATCAGAAACAGTGGAAATAAATCCATTAATAATTTGTTTAATTACTTAATAAACAGATTATAAGAAAAATATATAATATATATAGGTCTTCTCTACAGTAACTTTCTGGATTTTAGTTTAGAATCCATGTCTCTGTGCAACAAAACAGGCAGGCTGGTTTGTTTTTTTGTTGTTGCTTGGTTTGATTCCGTTGGTTTTTAAAGCAGAATTCAACACGTCTGTAAATTATCCATACTATTTCTCAGGCGGAATTGGAAGGCAGGCTGAAGGAAATGTGTGCCAAGTGAGGCAGCGAGAGTGAGATCATTAGTGTAATGAAATCAGGAAACACCAGTTTGATAAAATGTGATGTGAAGCAGGGTGATATTAAACCACAGCAGTCTTTACAAGGGGAGAATTTAGTGTGTTGAAGGGGAGTGGTCTACTTGAATGATGATTATGGAAGAATGTCCCAGCACCTGCACTTTTGAACGTGTGAGTAATGGTGCTCGGGGGAATGAAAAGTGCATCAAATATATAATATAGGTATTGTCTTGAAAGATTAGTAAGATTATAGAAATACTACAGAAATGATGAATAAATGACACAGCCCGGATGGATGAAGTTAGGCTTGACTTGTTCAAAGATGTAATGTCAGCTGTGGTGATAAAGAAATTGCAAGCAAGGAAGATGAGATAATAACACATAAATATTCTATCTCTGATTCACCAGATAGCTCAGTTCAGTCATTCTTTTTTTAAAAGGCAGCAGCTGCTGTTTGGATTTTTTTGCTTTCTTTGGTACCACTACCTTGGCTGCAAACTGAAACAGGAAAAGAGGACTGAAGTGTTAATTTGGTTATTGGCTTTCTTTTTAAAGTGAAGAGGCATCACTGCTGAAGACAAATCTTTATGTTCAAGAAGGCTGGCCAGAATGAGTAACTGATGAGAAAATCTCATTTAATGGCACATAATTTTCACATAAAGACATTAAGTGGATTCTGATAAACTGATTTTATTTTCTAAAGTTTTGCCTACAGCATTAATTCAGAAACTATTATCTGAACTATTGTTAAGACATCTTAAATTTGAAAATATTTTTGTACTACAAAAAACGACATGGAAAATGATGCCTGTTACTGCGCAGTATCTGGCATGTGAAGATTTTTTATGCTCTACTATATTAGGCTTATGTTCTAAGGTTAGGTCTGTTTCCAAACAACATCAGCAAAGTACAAATATCAGCTTCTAGAAGGTGGAGCTAAAACTTGAAATGTGAGAATGTTTCTTCAACAAATGGTTGAAAATCTCTATAGTGGGAAGAATCTTTAGTAACAGATTTGACAGGAATAAAAATAAAATTATGAATGAGCTGACACTTAGGAAGATATTTGCAGTGGAGAGAAGCTAAAGCAATCAACAGCTAAAATAGATTTTTCTTTTTCTCCTTGAGTTCTTATGGTAGTAAATAAACAGCATTTTTTATTTGACAGGTGCCATGTGGCAAACAAGACCTGTCCAAAAAATCATATTTGGAATAATCAAATTTGCAGATGTTTGTCACAGCATGATTTTGGCTTCTCTTCTCACCTTGGAGATTCTGGTAAGCACTTTCCCTTAAACCATCAAATGTCATCCTAAAGACAAGAAGTTGTAGTAATTATTTGTATATTTTTTCTGTATCAATGCAACTACTGGTTGTTGCCTGTCCTTTGACATATGCTTGTTTTTGAAACACCATAAAAGGTGTGGATTTGCTCATTTCTTCACATAAAAATAGGTGACAGAGTAGACACAAAATTCTGGTACTAGTGCAACTTCTCTGCTGCTTTTCTAGACACATCTGAAGGATTCCATATTTGTGGACCAAACAAGGAGCTGGATGAAGAAACCTGTCAATGTGTCTGCAAAGGAGGCGTACGGCCCTCGAGCTGTGGACCTCACAAAGAGTTAGACAGATCATCGTGTCAGTGCATGTGCAAAAACAAACTTATCCCTGCTTCCTGTGGGCCCAACAAGGAATTTGATGAAGAAAAGTGCCAGTGTGTATGTAAAAAGACCTGTCCTAGACATCAGCCGCTAAATCCTGCAAAATGCGTCTGTGAATGTATAGAATCTCCCAATAAATGCTTCTTGAAAGGAAAAAGGTTCCATCACCAGACATGCAGGTAAAACCTCAGTTTTTATTTCTTTCATTGTGTTCAAGGCCTAAAATTTTGGGTTGTGACATCAGCTGTTTTGTTGATTTTCTTGGTAGTCAAGTAAACAGTAAGCCTGGCGTCAGTTCAGTTTCATCTTCTCTGATTTCTATAATCTCTAAGAGAAAGCTACTAGGCATAATAAGCATTCTAAAGCATGTTTAGTTTCCAGTACTCTTATGACTGCTTCCTGGAACTTTTCTTCCTTTTCCTTTTTTTTTCCTGATGAAACTGAACTCTAAGTTCAAGCTTGCTATGTCCGATTGTATTTAAAATCACACTCCGTTTTTTTCCAAGAACTGAATATTGCAATTCAAGTACCTCAAATATTCATATAACTCAAATATTCCTAATTAGATTTCAGTTCCGGAGATAACATCTTTCATTTCCACCTCCTAGATTTTGAAATCACCTAACTCTGGGTGATTTTTGTGAAAAGGAGGCATATATAACTGTAAAACAGACTGCCTTCATTCACCGTTTAAAATGAAATTTAGTCAGGAAGAAAATTCTGCAATTTCTTTATATAACCTAAGACCTTTACCTTCCATGACTGCTACACCCTTTAGCAGTTTATAAAATGACTTTGGTTTATGAGAATCAAACAGTATTATTTTTGCTTTGTATATTATGTGATGAAAGTTTTCCTGTAAAGTTCTCTTGTAAATTCCTTGAACAAATTTCTTAGTTAATTTTTTTTTTTTTACATTTCCTACACAAAATGCCATTTGGAGAAGAAAGATCAGTTATTTCTAATATAGGGGAAGTATTTCTATTATATGGATGACAAATAACAATTCAGGCACTGCAAATGGAAAATAGCAAATTGGAACATTTAAAAAACATTCAGAACTGGAGAAATCAGGCACTTAAGAAGCTAAGAAATGTCATATTAAATATCTGATGTTGATTTCAATATCTCTGTTGATTTAAAGACTTAGTATTTGAGGGAGGAAATTAAGTTCAGCTTTTCTCTGTTGTGTTGTGGTTGAATATAATAAAGAGTTTGAATCACTTTCTCACTTCCAAGGACAGTATGGTACAGGATGCTTTTACCCTTTTTCTAAGATGTTTTTCTTTTCTCTTTGAGTGCAGAAGGAAAGGTTTATATATGTTGATACCTTATACCTCTGGAATCAATGGTCCTGTCAAGGAAAATAGAGGTGACAATCTCTCCTCCTTAAGAAAAGAGTTAGCATAAGTTTCTCACATTTTGGCTCTGTCCAGCACAAACTGTCTCTAAAAAGAATAAAAATCCTGCAACATCCTTTTCATCTCTGAAAGATCTCTTGCTCATTTAAAACAGCATCAATTGTACTATTTAATTAATATAATAAAAAAATGAGCTATATTAATTATACAAATTTATTAAAAATAAATAGAAGTACCACTCTGTTTAGAGTTGTGCTAGATGTGTGAGCCCTAGACATGTGCATAATCCTGTAGTCATGTCCTAGATGGCTCCCTGTCCTACAAGCAGTGCTTGTAGCTTCTTGTTTTGAAGCACTCATCTTTCTATGCACTTACCTAAAATGCCTCTACCTGTAGTGTTACACCCTGCTTCAGATGAAAGGAATACAACATCATCTACAAAGCACAGCATGGGAAGGGAAAAAAGGCTCTCAGCATACTGTTTTTTAAGGTGATTATGCTGTTTATCAGCCCACAAAGTAATGTTTCCTCTGTGGAGTTGTTAGATTGCCCACAATGACAATCTGGGCATTCTGCACAGCAAAAAATCACAATTATTGACCATAAAGAGAAAGTTGCTGCTGCTTTGCTCAGCACTACAAATAGTGACTCAAGATGTATCTTAGCTCCAGCATGCTCAGATTATCCTCATTGAAACAGACCTCTGTCACATGAAACCACTCCGTAAACACCATTCAGACCCAATCTCTTGAAAGACCTGGTCTATTGTTCAGCAGTTTCCTAAGGAAACTACATTTTTGTAGTTACAATGACTTTGCTGCTATTCACCCTGTGCTACCACCTCCAAAATTTATTTTGGTCAGTTTTGGCTGGGCCAGATAACTAGGAACTTCATCTGCTAAGCACTTTAGAGGAGGAGAGGGACTTTCTCGCTCTGTTGAAATGTCCCAAATAAGGATAAGACTAAAGTAACCTGACCTTGACTGCTACTAGACACAAACTCACATGGGAGAGGTGCTGTATAGCACTCCCAGCTGCAAGTTGAAGTTCACAAGGAGGCATGAATCCTATACAAAGTGAGCTGTTCCTGCTTAATCTTTGCATGACTGCTTTTCATTGTGTACAGTCATAGGTGTGTAGACGAATTTGGCTTTGCCTCTTTTTCTTCTTATCTTATTTCATTTTACTGTCATTCATGGCAGAGACAGCAAAAAGGTGAGTTGAGTGTTTCATCCATTGCGTCTCTGTGGAGTACATTTTCCCCAGAACAGATCTACTGCTGGTTGCCTATTCGCTCACAATATTAGATCCTTTCACAAACCTTTTTGTTGCCTTTTAGCACTATTTCCAAACTTTTTGGGGAATAGGTCAGTAGAGCTTTGAGAGATTCCCATGAGCTGCTACACCGATTTCAAATATCTGTTAAGTGACACAAAATAATGTTATTCCCTTAGTTACAGAGACCACAGTGGTGAACTAATCTATGAGAAATGACATTGAAAACACTGAGCATGATGTGACTAGTTAATAAATGTCCCATTTGCAGTCTTCCTCATTCCTTATTGCTTTCCTCATTGCCAAATTCATTTGTTGAACTAGACGGTGTGAATTAATGTAACTGTAGTGCACACCTCATATCATAAATTATTGCAGGGCAGTAAATTACTATCCAAAACAAGCACACAACATACTAACTTACTTGCAACAACAGTAAGAGTAGCCACAGACCTGAAACAAGAATTACCCAGGGAAGAGGAGAGTGATATTGCACAATTTAGCCTGCTCTATAGATGTAAGTAAGAGTTATCATAATACATCATAATATTGGTGTTTCACAAACAGGCACACATTATTTAAGTACAACTGTGCTGAAATTCAAGACATATACTTTTGTCTTTTGACTCATTGCCAGTGTCTGAAAAAATCACAGACTTGTACTTTGTCTCCATTATACACCAGAAAGTATTTAGCATTGTTATTGTAAGGTTATTTTGGGTCAAGTTCTTGTTTTAATAGAAAAATTAAATAGGAAAAGGAAGGGTTCAGGGACAACCAGAGATATTATCTTTGTATAAGTTCTATTTTTCAGTCAAGGAATTGGTCAGGAAAACTTCTGCTGCTGCATAGGGAGATGTGATCTGTGGTTCAGTGTTGTATTCCTGTTAAACCTATTTTAATCAGGTAGACACTAATTCTGTTCTTTTTCCATTAAGATTTATCAGAAACATGATAAATAGGCTTTTTCTTCAGAATGCACACAGATGCAGTATGAACGTAGATGTATTCCCACTGGCTCAGAGGCTGGCTGTGGGAATTTGCAACCTGAAAGGAAGAGTGTTCTCATTTTCCAGATTAGAGCCACAGTGTAACACATGTAGACAAACCTATTGAAATAATCAGTAAGATGAGAAACATCCTAGGCAGGAGGATGATAGATTTGGTTATCACCTGATTCTGGATTACCACCTCCAATTTGCAGGATGCAGTAGGTTATAAAAAAACAATTTGAATACAGAAATATATCCTATTTTCAAACTAAAGCTTTAAAAAATACTACTCAAGATTAGAATGCGACTGCACCCATCAGTGTGGTAAAAAAGATCCGTATGTATCTGTTGCGATAGAATAATTTTTCTTCAGTATCAATCGTTATTGTTTCACTGTCTTTTGTGAAGAATTGTTCAACGAAAATTGTTGCAAGAACATAAAAAGTTAAAATTCCAATTTGTAGGACTTAAATATTCCATTGAGAAATGGCAATGTGAAGGCACACAGATTTCTGCTCAAGTTAAATATAAATGGTCATGTTATATTAACGCCTGCTTTTTCCTCCCTTTCTTTAGTTGTTACAGACCTCCGTGTACAGTGCGGACGAAACGCTGCGAGGCTGGATTTTACTTTAGTGAAGAAGTGTGCCGCTGTGTACCCACATATTGGAAAAGACCACTTATGAACTAGCAAAGAGAGCACTACTTGCCATGTTGGTGTACATTTTTCCATTAGATCAAAAGAACAGCGGAAACTTTGCTAATATTTGGAATTAAATGTTCACCAGAGACCCTGTGGGGCTTTCAGAGACAGACTTGTGCTTTTCTCAAGACGTGGAAAGCAAATGTAGAAGACAACTGGGGTTCACGTTTTGTAAAGAACTCAATAAGGACTTATTTTCTGTCAATGACCAAACAGCCTAGGTTCTCCTTCTTGTGATTTTTTTTTTTTAAGAGATAATGACTATATAATTTATTTCCACTAAAACCATCGTGCAGCATTTCTGTTTATAGCAGTAACAATTGTTAAAGCTCACTGTGATCAATATTTTTATATCATGCAAAGTATGTTTAAAATAAAATGGAAATCATATTATATAATGGTGAGAATGTTTAATCATCAGCCAAAAAAGGAACTCAGATTCAGCTCTATTTTCTGGATTCTTAACAGGGGAAGAACAAATAAGGAAAAAGCACTTTTATGAAGGAAGGCTGCAGACATTTTCTTTTACCTGTTGGGCTTGCCATTTGGAGTAGAGTTATACTGAGGGTTTTGTGAGCCAGTGGTATTTCTGTCTCTAGAATGAAAGTAGCAAAGAAAGTACAATTCATAAAAGGAGAACACTGGGGATTCTGTACGTTGCCTAAGTATAAGGACTATGTTTAAAGCACAGCAGCAACTACTCACTTTGCAATACACTCATCTCCAATTTTATATCTTGGTTCCATTCCCAAAAAAAAGTATAAAATTATGTCTGTTCAAGGTTATTGGCATGAAAGTGGAAATACCAACACGGCTTTTTATTTAGTATCACAGGCTACATTATAAATTTTACAGCTAAATCTTTCAAAATGCTTTGCTGAGCTTAACCCTTATGTAGTCAATCAGATCTCTTGATCAATGTAAACAGATGCAAATATATTTTAAAGGGGAAAAAATATACTCCAATGGGGACATGAAAGTATTGATACCAGTCTCTATATTAAAAAAGTCTCTTTCAGAAAATGTGAAATCAGACATCTACAATTTTAAAACAAGGTAAGATTTTTTACTTGCATGGGAAGGTCAATCTATTCAGAATTAAAATAGAAGTTGGAAGGAAGTTCTTTACTTACAGAAACTTTGTTGGGTGCAGAGTGGATCAAGCAAAGCTGCAAAGCAGGAGTTTTGTGACAGGAATGGTCAGATCTGTAAAAGAATTGTGCTGGATCTAAGCAGCTGTTCTTAAAAGAGTTATTAATGAAGTAGTATTACAGCCTAGAGCGTTGGCCAGGAGGTGTTGCTTTTCTAGATTCTTTGTATTTCATAGCTCTTAAAACTGAGTGGAAGTTCCTGTTAGTTACTCAGTCCCCATCATGGGTTGAGGCAGAGGATGAGAGATACTTTGAGACTTCACACTTTCCACTGTCTGCCTGCTATGCTCAGTATTCTTCCTAAGAGGCCTAAGAGCTATTCATTATCCAAACAGGATAATAGGGTGAAGTTTAGGCATGCAAATACTGAACAATGTCTTTATTGCTATATTGTTTCAGCAATCAAATGCAGGTAGAAATGTGGATGACAATTTAACACTGATGTACAACTTTAGCTGTTATAACAACTCACACTTCCCATCAGTAGGATTAGTAGTCACGCAAATAAATCATCAGTGTCTAAATTGGCAATGTTGACACAATAGCTAGAGGTTAATGATCAAACTTAATTCAGTATTCAAAAAAATCCAATCATCCACTTCTGTAGGTTACCTGCTTGAAGGAAGCCTAAAATACCTTAAAAATAATTAAATAAATTAAATTACTGCTGTGACTCCAATTGGCAAACTAAAACCACTACACTTTTATAAAGACTTGAGGAAAAAAAACCAGCACTGTAGGTGAAGATTTTAAATTTCTATCCCAGCCCAATACAGAAGAGAGGCAGTGAAGAGAAACACAAAATCTGGTACCAGGAACAGAGCCTAAGTAAGCAGGTATCTAACTAACAGATCAAAAATGTACTTGTGGTTATAAAGGAGAAGGGCACAAGTGAAGGCAGAACAAAATCTACATTTCATCAAGTAATTCCACATAGATTTTAAAGAGTGCATGTTAAAATGCCATGCAAATAAAAAAGAGCAAACTCTACTAAACTGACCAACGATCATATGTCTACATTTTTTAAAGGCTTCATGAAAACAGCTAATAAACCCATTGTGGCTAAGCAGGTACTTACATTACTACTGAGTGAGCATACCATACTCCAAAATGATAAAATCCATCTGAGTAGGGAAGACAGGAAGTTCAAAAATGAGACCAATGAACAAAAAGCTTCAACTATATCACAAACACCAACAAAAGAATTACTTTCTTGAATGCATGTTTTTTCTGGTTCTTAAATTTCCAAGTATTGAGACTTTTGGGCGTAAATTATGCCAGTCTAAGTAAAATAAGATTTATAGAGAGCAAATTCCTGAATTGTAAAAGTTACCATAAAATCAGGTTTACATTTGAGCAAAGTGACTAGTTAACCATTCTCAAAATTATGCAGATGCACAGAATAATACATACAAGCAATTGGAAGCATTTTCTGATAATCAAAATCTCCAGTTCTACTTTCCATGAGCACAGTGTTATAAAAATGCATTATGTGTGATACAAACACCAGAATTATTATCATTACTATTGGATAGACTCTGCAGATTCCATGTGATAAATATTATCCCATTTATCTCCATACTGTCATTAAATAATAATAATCTGTAGAACAGATCTTCCTTGCATTTATTACATAAAGTAGCTTATAGGTCTACACCATTTTCAGTTTTGAAGTGATACGTGATTATGATCTCATTGAAATTTTCATCTTCACTTCAAACCTTAAAAATAGTCTTAAAAATATGCAAAAACAGGTTATACTTACAAGGAGATTCGAAAAGATAGATGATAATTCTATATGCAAATTATTCTGCACTAACTCCAAATAAAAAGCTTTTATTGTTATTTATCTAAAATCCCTGTACCTTGTACAAAAATTACAAGGTGGCTGAGAGAAGGGAGGGTACGGTAAATCACATTTAATAGTAAACAGACTTACGCTTGCATTTCATCAGGAATTTACAGCAGTTTCTGTAGTCTTTCAATACTGAACTCTAGGGAGACCATAAATTAAGCAGGGTAAGCCCTTTTTACCTGCACTACCAGAAGGACATGCTATTTACAGTGAGAGTGCTGTTAGTCAGCTGACATGTTTGTTTAATTCATGCTGAACAAGTTGATAGTAAATCAGGTCTCTCAGCTCTATTTGAAAGACCAGCATGAAAGCTTGCACATGTCATCTTGAGAGGCTTGGTGATAGAATTGCTTTCAGTATTCTCATTTTCAGTCTTTAGATCTCAGTTACAATTCCAGCTGCCCTTGAATTTTAGCATATCCTATTTTTTTGAAGCATAACCAGCTATCACATCTATGCCAAAAGACAGGAATGGGATAATTTCTGCAGTCACTAAGCTCGTCAACAGATTAGTCTGAAGAATAGAATGTGTTCTTTTAAACATTATTTATTTTGATATTTAATTTAAGGATATATTCTAAAAAAATAGTGATATAATTATATTTAATTTTGCATCATTTGGAGGTACAAATAAATGCTGTCAGTTAGAAAAGTTTAAAAGTGGCCAATTCTGAATTTTCAGAATGTTTTAATTTAGAAAATTTAGGAATTCTTTATAGTTTTTTTGCTTCCTCGAACAAATAAAAATAATGGTTGATAATTTATTTAATGGCTTCTTTTTGTTCTCTTTCTCTTTTCCTTTTGCATTGCAGATAAAACTAAGGGAAAGAACACAGGACAACCTTCTAACTGAATGATGAACTAATAAGATAAAATGGACCAGGTATTTAATTTTTTTTTAATTTAATTAATACTAATGGTTAATAAGAACTAATGAAATTAGGCCACATAAATATGAGTGTAAGACTCCACAATACACTAGAGGTCTCAAAAACTCTGGAGAGATGAAAATCGTTTTATAGAATACATGTCTGGACTTATTTTATCTATACTTTCTTGTCCAAATGTTGTAATGGAATGTGGATAGTAGAAGCATTAGGAGGTCACCAATTTTACATTTAAAAATTCTAAAATTTCAGTAATTTATCATTAATAATTATTTTTTTTTCTGTAGTCTGGATCTGTGAATCAGGGGACCTTATTTCAGCTTGAGANATGGGGTATTTCTAGGCAGGTGGCTGGGGCAGGGTGCATCTCTGGGAGAGCCTGAATGAAGTTTCTTGGAAGGATTTTAACCATGCTTAGTTCTGTGTTGCAACAGCCACTTCATTATTAGTGCTTCACCTGTTAGTGCCTTTACTAGGTAACGAATTTGCTGTTAACTTGTGCATTATCACAAACTACCTTCATTTTCTGTTGGAACTTGAAATAAGTGCTGTGATTGAATATATGGTAGGTACCATGAAGACAGTGACAGGCTTTCTTAATTCAGGTGTGTCACTATTGGTCTGGAGACCTACTTTGGTTATTCAGGTGGTGAATTACAGCTGTAATATATCCTTGGAATTCTAGTTCAAAAAAACAAACATAAATGTGGAAGTGTACTTCTTATCTCTGTATATGTAATGTTGGCTATGCAAACTGTAAATTGGCAATATCAGGTTTTTTCCTGCTAGCAGTCATAATTTTGATATCTGTAGCCCCACTTTGAGTTTACTGGCTACATTTCTGGGTTGAATACTTTTGTACTGATGTCCCTGTACTTGAAGATTAGGAGCTCTCTAATAGTTATGAGGTTCAGGGTTTGATTCAGTTTCTGAAGTTAGCAAAAGACAATGGAATTTAGTAGGCTGTGATTTAGTCCTAGTGCACATAAATAGTTATTTTAATGGGAATAAAGTGTGTACTTAAATATCTTATAAAAAATAAAAGATACTGCCAAGAAGTTCTTTTGCCATTACTTATAAGATCAAATTAAAGATTGAAGTACATTTATGTTATTAGACAACTACATAGGGATATGTGAAAGTGTGTTAAGCTATTTGTTTTCTTTCTAGTATCCTTTCTTTAAAAGGCAGCATAGGATAATTTCAAGTGAGTGGTGTCAACTTTTTTTCCACAGTCTTAAAAAAACAGTAATCTTCAGAAAATGAGGGATTTGCAAGTTTGTGGGCAAAGGAGTAGTTATTACCATTGGAGGACTTTAGTGTGCTTGTTAACTGAATTGCATTTTGAACACAGTCCAACATCTGTGGGCATTTAGCCATGTGCTGTATTAGAAACTTGGTCACCCAAAGCTGTTGTGAGAGATCAGGGAGAGGGAACAGCTTCAAAGGATAAACCCATGCAAATTCTAAATTAGCCCCTGGAAGTTCTCTCTGCATGGACTAAGGCAT